TCATTCGTATTAAATTGTTTAAAAAAAATTAAACATTTAACTAAAAATATTAATTTCTTTTTCTTCAAGAAGTTTGATCGCATCAAGGTGGTTATTAAGGGTGGCTAATTTTAAGTATTTAATGCCCAATTCTTCATTCACGGGGCAAAGTAATCTTCCATTTAAATACATATCACCCAAATTATATTGAGCTGCGACATTTCCAGCATCAGCTGCTTTTGTAAGATATTCACTAAATTCACTAAATGTCTTCTTGTTGAATTTAATACCTGGTGTATTGGTTAATGAAAATGCATAACGTAGTTGAGCATCAGGAATTCCATCATCAGCTGATGTTTTGAATAATTGACTTGCTCTAACAAGATCTTTAACTCCAGAAGGATATCCTTCAGACAAATAATATCCCATCCAATATTTGGCTATTGCATTTCCCAAATCAGAATGGGCCTGGAAACAATCCCAAGCTGTATTATAATCTTTTTTTTTATGAGCTTTAATGCCTTCTTCAAAAGGCATTAATTTTGGAAAATTAAAATTCATGGTCATTTCAGGAAGTTCTATAGGTCGTGGTTGAGGTTTAGATCCATCAAAATCTATTGTCCTATCAGGAAGCAGTGATGGTAAAGAACCTGGTTTAGCAAAGGCCACAGATAGCTTATTCAGTTTTAAAAAAATATCTTGAAGAGAAGCTCTGACATTTATATCTTGTTGCCAGGCTTTATAGTAAAAAAAAAACTTTAGCAAACCAAAAAGAATTAGAATTAATCAAATGTAGAAAAAATGTTACCTGAAATCGTTATTTTTGCAAATTTTTGTTAGATTTTTTGGATATCTGGTAAGTCAACTCCCCAAGAAATTTTTTCTTGATTACCCTTTAAAACATACTCCTTAATTTTATTTATTTCCATATTAGCATATGGAATTTTTTCAAATGCAAGTTCCCAAAGCATCATTCCGAAACTAATTTAAGAAAATAAATTAAGAAAATATAATTAATATCTTCAATGAATCGAAGGAATAATTACCTAAATATTTCGCATTTGAATGTATATCGTATAGGATTTTCAGGAGTTTCCTTTAATTTTTTGGGAGCCATCCAACGTATGATTTCATTTAAACAATTTATTTTACTGGTATGCGATGAATTGTGACGAGCATATTTAAAATTTGCTATCTTCGACTCGAGTCATGAAGTCATCTGTTTTAGTTTGTTTATTGTAATGATTATCGTTCGCAAATATTGCGATAGCAATAATGTCGTCAAAATAAATTTATGACTTACTAGGATATTTGCACACCTGATGTCATGATGCAGGATTTCACTGGTATGCAAAAACACAAGGCCGCGACAAATATCAAGAGCTATTTGTACTTTTGAACACCATGCAATATCATTTTTACCATATAATTCTTGAAGTGTGCCATGTTCTGCCCATTCAAAAACCATAACTCGATAGTTTGAAATTTTTGAAAGACCATAAAATTTAAGGATATTGGGTGAATCTTTCAATTTTCCTAATATGCCAAGTTGGGTTTGAATTTTTTGACTTTCAGATGTATCATCATCTATAATTTTTGTACGTTTGCAGGTGACTTCAATAGCTCCATTTAGCAGTTTCTTAATGAGAGGTGATTCTTTGTTGCCTTGTGTGTCAGTAGAATTTCCAATCTGAGGATCGTTTAATTCTCTCAGCTCTATTTCTGTTGCTCTGATGTTTTTAGTAATAGAATTTTGGCATCTCAATTGATTTTTAATAATTAATACCTCTTTCAGAACATTGTTAATATTTTGATTAGCATCAACAACACCACCGCCAATTGTTTTCAAAAACTATTTAATTTAAATCTACAAATTAATTACTTGAAATTCCATTAATTCATTAATTAACAGGAATTTACCTTTGACATTTCTTCTAGGTCAGATTTAAGGGCCATTGCATCTATTTTTCTCTGTTCGTCATTAAAGAGGTTTGTTGCAAAATATAAATCATTCATGGTAGTTTCGAATTCATTAATAAGTGATCCGAACTTTTCTTTAACTAAATTAATGTACATTAACCTTTTAAACCCAGATAGGGTTGATACAT